TGAATATTCAAACAAGAGAATTTTGTTAGTAGGCATGATGGCCCTTTTGAACTTCAGAATACTCATTAACCGATTTCTACTGTTTAAATATTTATGCGCTTATATCTCAGTTAGAGAGAGGATTTCCTAGAAAATAAACAGTGGGTTAGAAACAGCTCACTAAGTACTGTGAGCAAGTGTCAGCCTTGGCTCATTAACAAGTTTCTATTGTTTTAATATCAATCTTTTTACATCACGAAAAAGAAAACTGGACGTTTCATGGGGCGGTAAGAACGAGCATCGTTTTCTGTCTCTCAAGTAATAGTTTCAGCTCTTTCGTAGGACGAGAAAATTCCCTCTGAGTATTGAATCAATAGGTTTTGTTTATGAGCAAAATTGATCACTTTCTTCGAGAGATAGGGAGGTGCCTCCAAAGGCTCCATATTTATACGTTTATAATGTGGCCAGAGATGGGATTTACGCGACGTAAAGTGTCGGAAAGAGGATGAAACTCCATTCACAATGACTTAATTCATGTAATTGAATTCAACACTTGGTTGTATTTTATTGAGCCAGTCATATAACAGCATTTCTAACGTGAATAGTTGCCATCGCAGCAGACGACGTAAAATCCTTGGAACTGCGCGCTGAAGTCCAATTAAACAGGCTGTATTATTTCCTGAGGATTGCATTCCTAAATATGAAGGAAGGAAGACATTGATCACGTGTCTGAGCTGACTGAAACAAATTCCTGGTTATACAAGGCCTCGGCGTAATCATCACACACATCATCAAGCTCATGACCAACTTCTTGCAAAGCATCTTCTAACAACTCCTCACTGATCCTGCAACAAATGAGAACAGAACGTTACTGAACAAGATTTTCCATCAAGCATCAAGTGCAGCAAAGAAGTTAGTGCAGAGAAACATGTTACAGCCCAACCTCTCCTCTTTTTCCACCTTATGAAGAGAGGGTGGCCATTGTAAAGACGCAGCCCTCGGAGGGGTGGGGAGGAAAAACCACTGTGTGACTTGACCTAGTTTTTAAAAGGGTTGAAAATTTTCATTGGGAAAAGCTTATGGCGGCTTGTATGGGTCTGTGGCCAATTCAAAGAATATCAATGACAGAGAAACCAGAACCTGATTTTCAGATGGATATTGGCAACAAACTACAAAGTACAGTGAGTAAATCAGCTCCTACGACCTTCCCTTTGGTTATTCAAGACAAATAAAATATTCGCATTGACAGGTTGTCACGCATTTTACAACGGTCGTCTGTAGGTGATCCACTGGCCTTCCTGCAGAGGTTATTTTAGCAGTAGGGACGCGGTTCAATGTGTGTTGCCGCTATGGAGAGATATCCTTCGATAAAAGTTCGACTGTAATGCTCAAAACGATGTCTACAAAATGATGTCCCAAAATGACGATTTACTGCTTCGTTTTCGGAGCTGTGTTTCTAAGCATATTTAGCTTCGGCTAACTCTTCCTTTCAAAGCAGATTATTTTATGTTAACCTACAACAAATGCTTTTCATACTGCGTTAATTTCCCTATCAAATAGCGACACAACAATATTCCTGATTACATTAACTATACATCTGGTGTCCAATACACCACCAGTAAGAACCAATCAAAATGCTTGAAGAATTGACAAGCTGTTACATAAACATACCTGTTTACCAGTCCCCACGGGTCAAATGTTCCTTCCTCGTGAGTAGAAGTGTCCTGAAGATATTTGTTGAATCGATTCCTATAGGACACTATACTGGCTTTCATCTCCTTAGGCACACTAAGGAACACTGTAGGTCGTGTGCCAGAAGTGAGGGGCCAACTTTGTGGAGCTGAGCTATTTTGAGGACTCTTGTAAATGGAGCTTTGAGCAGAGGAGCGCTCTGTCGATGCTGAAAATAAAAAGGACCCATGCATTTCTACTGACATTTTATCAACCTAAATTATAATACTTCAATGAGAGACTATGTCCAACCTTCCATTAGGGAGGAAAAGCTACTGGCTGCACTAATTTCATTCAACAGTCTGAATGGCTTTCTGACACCTCGTCCATCGTCGTCGGGAGGTGCTCGGGTGTTTTCTGGTAACAGTCGGTGGCTTTCGGTTTCCACGGGCCTTGTAAACATGATCGGTTTCGGATCCTTAGCTGGTCGAGTTCTTTTCTCTGTTGATAAAGGGGAAACAAGAAAGTGATGTAAACATATGTAAGGTTTAGAGCAATTTTCAATTGAGCATCGACAGTAATCTGCCATTGCTTTAGTTTTGCTCAACTTTGCTCTGTATTGGTCCAGAAAACTCGCACCACTTTCAGATTAAGAAATACAATCAATCACGACTTGGTCACTTGCATTTCTCTGCGCCTCAGCTTGCTCGAATCTACCTTGAATTGGGTGTTGTGATTACGTTGGTTTTTTTGCAACCATACTAAAGGATTGCATACATACCAGTGTGGTGTTTTTCTGTGGAATTTTCAACATCTGCATAATTCACTTGAACCCAATGTTGTCTTATCTCCTCCTCGGCTTTCTGCGACGAAAGGCAGTGTTTTTATTGATATTAAAATGTTATACTCCATTTCAACTAGAACAGAACATTGGAAAGAATATTCTAAGCAGGACTTCTTATGGAGAGAAGATTATTTCGCACCCATCGGTTTTTCACGTACCTCGAAACTCTGCAGTCTCTGAAGAATATTATCTAAGGATGAACTGTTTTGCAAATCATCAGCTTGCATTTCAACGTCGTCTTCGATCTCTAATCTGTACATGAATGAATAAAAGAAAAATTAAATGCACCTTTACAACGTAAGAGACCTCAGAGATAAGAAAGTTAAAAACGATCCAGACACTCGCCTTTGCATTTCAAGAACTGTATCTTCTAAAATATCATCGAGAACTTTTTCGGCTAAAATGTCCGCTTGGTTCATTGTCTGCCGAGAAAGCAAAAGTACGATACTATGGCAAAAACAAGTAAAAACCTTAAAATAAAGAAAAGAAGTTCGAGATAATCAGCAGCATTTTAAAAAAGGCCATTATGCAGGATGTTTGTCACATGTGAACTTAAAATATGGCCTCGTTCCCCATCAAGTTGTCAGTCGTTCAATGCTGAAGCGCTGGAGCACAGGATCCATTAACATCGTCATAACTCTCCTCTAATCTCCCAGAGTACAAAAGAGATCACATTGTCGTGTTTGTTGAAAGGACAGATGACACTTCTCCCACTGAATTAACTATCCAACCTTCAAGCGACCGTGGCCTTAGGTTGTATTTGTACACTCACTGTCTGAGAGGCAAGTTTCCCAAGCTGATGCTGTAATGATTTCTTTTGCTCTTCTTCTCTTATCGCCTGTGTTTCCGCTATCGCCTGCACATAGGAACAAACAAATTTATAATAAATACCAAGTTTGCTTTCTGCTCAGTGCTGTGAATTGTAATAGTAACTACTTTACTTACTATTCATAACTAAAATGATGTGGATCGTATAGAAGGAAGATCCTTACTCCTGGGTTATGTGCGGGTACCTTTTCCAACTAGTATGTACTAGAAATTCCAAGTCACTAGACAACTCCTTCTGATATTGTGCACATGAGGGGACGGTGTTTCTTTGTTACTCTATAAAGACGAACCAGTTTTACATTTTCTTTACGAGCAGTCCCTCCTTTTCAATGACGTTCGTTGCGCGAGTCAACTGAAAAAACTCAGCAAAAAAAAAATAGATGTCAGCACGCGCGCGAAACTCTGGGAGTACTTTTCGTGCGCCACACTCCCAGAGTCCTGCGCGGCGCGCTCACATTTCTTTCTTTCGCTAAATATTTTAAACTCGCGCGACGAACATCGCCAAAAAGAAGGGTCTGCTTGTAGTATATCTACATCTTTACTACTTTGGACTACGTAAATAATCATACACCTCCCGTGAAACATCAAAATTAGAAGATAAAATTAAACTTTTTTAAATACCTCTGCTCGATCCAATAGCGGTTTCAGTCGAGATCTAATGGCGTCTTCTGTCTCACATATCAATCGCTTTGGCAGTGAAACGTCTGGACTGGAATATTGGAAAAAATTGCAAACTCAGAACCGATCAA